ATCTCTAATTAATTAACAAAATAAAAAGGCACTTTTCTATATAATTATAGTAATTTTGAAATCATATAATTTAGATTAGGTATCTTTATATCTTTATAAAAATACAAAAGAATTTTGAAGGTATTGATTTTAAATTCTGTAGGTGAAAACGATACCTTTTTCACGCTTACTTGCATCTGTATTATTGCCTCTGCGGCCGCAAATGCAACATCATTGCACGCGTAGTAGATTTTCGTTTCTTAAGCAATATTTCAACGCGAATTTACGCAGGATCAGCGGTGAATCGCATTATTTCTGGAGCACGAAGCGCCTCGAACGGAATGCACTTTCTTGGTTTATATTTATAATTATCACGGCGGCAGTTTCCGCGCGGGCGAGAGCAGGCGGCGGGATACGCATTCGCCGTGTCTACCGCGACATCCTGTTTCTTGTCTCCTCTCTGTTTTTATTTTTCTCGCGCGTGTGCGAGAAGTCTCGAGATTCGACGCGTGACTGGCAAACGCTCGATGGCTTTCACGGATACACCCTGTGCATCCAGAGGCTCGTCGCAGTAACGCCTGGAAAAAGCTTCTTAGAATGATAAGTATGCGTCCGTGGTTTTCCGGCAAATCCTTAAAATATTTAAGGATTTATTCGACGTTTCATGAATATCCGAAAGGGCGAGAGCAGATCTTTTGTGTGTCGCTGAATCTCCATTGACGTGATTTAACGGGGATTGCTAGGAATAGCCATCTCATGCTTCGAAATTCTCTTTTTTAAGAGAAATAAGAATTATACAAATTTTAGTTTTACACAATTCAGTCTCCAAATATTACAAATGAATCTGTAATATTAATGCGTAAACTTTCTCTATACGTAGAGAAAAAAAAATTTTTTTAATTTTATTTATTTTATTAAAAATAAATGAGAACAGCTTTTAATCTACTAATGAAAACAAAAATTAATCAAATCGCATAATTTAAATTTCAAGAGACTTGTTATTATCATTTATGACTTTGTGCTTAAAGTGTGAAGATATAATACAATAGGAAGGCACTCGTAAAGAGAAGTTTTCCGTTTCCATCTAGAACTATCATTTTTCTTAAAATTGCAACAGAGATAGCCGTTTGCTCAGATTTTTTTAGTAATTTTTTGTTCCCGAAAGAAAATATCTCATTTTCTGCGCACATCTTGTTCGGACTATGTCGAATATCTTGCTCTCGAGGAGAGGTCGATGACACGGGTTAGCTTATATAGAGAGAGACGTTCGGTTTAAAGGTCCATTAGATCCCCGGATGCAATATCGTTGCGACAGGTGACACACCGGATCGTAAGACGCAGGCGGCGTATATTAAGGGCCATGCCACCCGGTATGTCGTCGAAGTAGAAACCTGGACACGCGGAACACGTTTCGTCTCGATCGCTCGGAGGGGGATAATATTATTTCACCTGAGCGATCGCGGAAATTTATCCTCGTTGTAACGCGTTGTAATATTTAAATAAACACATCGCTTTTAAGCGACAGGTACACGAATTAATTTATACGACCTCCGTTCAGTCCGTATTTATTCGCTTTCGAGATGGAAAATTTTTCGCTCTCGATATCTGTTTACGTTGAATTAAACAATCGCAGTCACGTTGTACGCCTAATTAATTAATATTAGATCGACGAATATGAAAATGAATTCAGGATGAGAAAAATTACGTTACGTCAAAATTAATGTTATTGACAAATTTTACGCGAACGTCACTGATAAATACGAGTTAGAATTGCTCTTTCTATCGCATGTGTCGGTACCTCATACCTTCTAATGCGTGACGAGAGTTTTGCGGTAATTACAATAGTTTGTTATACCGTGAGAGCTGTTTTCACCGACTCCAGGCGCAGCGAGTCGCGAAATGGAAAATCCATTTACGATCTAAGCTCCGGCTTAGGGTAAGCTGCTGCCCCAGATCGTCCCTACTGTGATTTCGGTACTTCGATAACCCGGTCGTGCCGGAGCGAGATGTCCGCCGGCGATTCTCCATCGATTTTCCCGGTATCTCTCGACAAGGGATTAGGTCAGGGGCCAGAGAAACGGGTTAGAGCACACGACGGAATCGGATGCTAGTACGGTCATCCGAGTGATGAAATGATTGGCTCGCTGATGAAACCTGATAGAGCTGCCTGGCTGCTGCTCGGACGGCTTGGCGGATTATGTTCTACCGTGCGAGAACACGCTGGATCACAGCCGCTGTGATCTCATCCACTTCCGCCTCGGGACACTTATTCTGCTTCGCGAATCTTTGACGTTTCGAGACGATCTATCGCCGTGAAATCCGATTTTGACAAAATTAGGATCTCGAAACGCTATAATTTATTTTGGCGAATTTAGTTGGCGCGAAAATACGAGAGTAAATATATCTTATCTTATAATCGTCGTATATATTTGTGTACTCTATCCTTAAAAAAGATTTTACTGTAGATGGATTTTAGTTAAAGAAAATAGACCGTGAGAGATATTCTTAAGTGAAATTTATGGAGAGATATAAATTTTGCGATATTATATATATTTTCTCTCTCGCAGAAAAAGAGAGAAATTCCTATATATATTTCTGGACATATACATCGGTACGTTCGTATATTTTCTCTAGAACGAATATAACTATTTTATATATTATATATATACGATCGTAAATTAAATAATGTTTAAGTATCCATAAATTCGTGTGCCAGAGAACATTGTCTGTGCCGGGAGCGTGGATCGAAGGTGGAAGGGAACGCAACAAATTGCATCTAGTTGAAAACTCGTTCGGCCATCTCTCTTGACTTTCCACGACGAGCAGCCGGTCTCGAGAAAAATGACACTCTTATCTAAAAAATGGTCGGCCATAAACAATCCCGCGGAATCGGTGCACCATAGCCTTCGTATAACGCACATGCCTTGGTATCGCTCTTTAACCTGTCGACGAAGAGGTACCGCATGATAAAACGCGCGAAAAATCGCGGCTTTGGTAAAGAAGAAGTCACATAAAAGCTTCCGCTCGGTCTGTATATTTTCGCCCAGATAAGATAATATTCAATTACTTGCAAATATTCGCGTATCACGTGTCGTTAAATATTATTTTCTTATATTTTATATCGTTCGTTAAAACGTTGAAATTTTTCTGGGTGTCTACTTTTAATCTATTTCTTTATCTATAATATTTCTCAATGTAAGAACTCACGATTCTCTCTGACATACAGAACATTTGAACATTTTCTCATTTTATCTACGTGAGATAGTCGAAGACACAATGACTGTGTACAAATATTGATAGCGAGCTTTTAGGGCTCTTTATCTGAATGGAAAAGTAGAGATTCTCAGAATTGGATATGCTATGTATTATTATAATTAAAATAATTTAGAATATACGAAGATAGTAACTGTCATATATGTATGTATATATAAAGTATGTTTGTAGAAAAACACATATACTGATGAATAGCATATATTCTAAAAAAAAAAAAGGTAATTTTAATTTCTTTGGATAAAAATGGAATTTATGATTTACAATCTTTACTTCATATATAATATATATATTTTTTAATTTTTAATGTTAAATTACTCAGCAATATTCCTAGTAAATGAAATTTTTGCCGCGGTAACATTTAATTTCAAATTAATTGAAAAGTAAGAAAGTAAATCATTCATTTTATGCTTCTGACATTTAATTTGTCCGGGCGCTTTAATTTTCAACGTTAAATAGCACGATAATTAGCTCTTAGATTAAATTCGCGTCGGGGGAAAAATCGACTGCGAATTACTAGGAGACGTAGAGCGCGAATACTCTATAACTTAACACCTCGATTGAGAGACGTCGGAGAATACGAATGAAAGAATACAAGAGTCGTGAGATCGGGAAGCGAAATTAGGAAAATTGATTGTCGTCGCAAAGAGATATATTCCGTTCGCGATTCTCTCTCGCGGATTTTCCCCATCATTTCTACCATCGGATGGTCCATCCTTTGTTGCTCGGTCCTCGCCGACCGGAGTTTTCTCTGGGTTTTACCGTCCGTAGAAGAGCGACCGTTTAGACGTCAACAGCTGCGTCGCAGGCCGTCCCGCCTGCTATAGCCGGCTCTATTTGCTCCTCTTACATTCTTCATGAAATAGTTTGGTCTCGCCGTGGATATACACTGACTGCGCGCCCCCCGAGAGGGATCAAGAATATCTTTCGGCTTTCGTGGGACGCTCCGAGATGAATCGTGTCGGTTTGCGGCTGCCACGCTGATTCCAGAATGACGCGGTTTCCCCGAAAGGAGCACCACTGCGTCTAGTTTGAAAAAAAAGAAAAAGGACACGAAAGTAGCCGTGACGACCCCTGAACCCTGAAAGCGTTCTCGTGGAGCGAACGAGATGCCGCGTCCAGAGAGGAAAAACTACTCGAATCGTAAAATTCTTTGAGATAAGACAACGACGGGCGCTTTTGAATGCGAGAGATTTAGATAAAGGAGTAATCGATGCGAGCTCGGTGAACTTACGACTAAGTACTTTGTGAATTGGAATACGCTCTCTCTTTCTCGCGTTGAATACAGGAGAGGGGTTATCTGAAGCGAGAGATATTTGTGTTCGAGAGCAGCCGGAGGGTGATCTGATTGTTGGACCTCTACGCGGTGTTTTATTGCCCATTCAAGCGGATTGATTGCGGAAACGAAGAGAAATATTCGATGCAAGCTTTCGTATTGTTTGAATCGATATGAAGTCGATATTATATAAATAGATTAGTATAAAAATTAAAATATAATTATAATATAAAATATAATTTAAGAATATAACTATATATTCATGCGTGTATAAATTTCATATTAGATTATTTAAAGAATTAAATTGTTTGTATATCGATAGAAAATTTCTTTTAATTATTTAATCGAAATAAAATTTAAAAAATATTAAAAAGCAAATTTTAAATATATGTATTCGGTTCATTAAATTTTATATTACTAAAAATAATTTAAATGTTTTAAAATGGGGATTAATTAACTTCTCTCAAATGTCAGATGTGTAAAATACTTATTTAATAATACCTGAAGCAAATATATATAAATTTATGTTACATCCATCTTTCTCACGGATAAATAAATCCTTGGATTTCTCTCGCGATATTTTTTGACGTTTCATTAATCGGATGTTTAGTAATAGATAGGTCCATTGAACTATTATTGCGTTACGAGTGTCGGCATGTACAACCGTATACGTGAAATGCATTAATAATTTTGGCACGATTCGCCCCGGTATTTTCCGGTAAGCGTGGCACTTTGGTCGATATTCGGACTTGTCCTCCCCTTTCACAAAATCATCCGAATGATACTGGTTGCTACGCTCGCGATTGTTCTAAACAAGGGCTTATTCATGCACGCACAGTTTGAAAGTAAGAACACTTCGTTACCCGACACGCGGGTTTGTCTCGGTCGAGCCTTGCATGAATTGCACTAATTTTCGACGTATTTCCTCTCGCTATTGTGACACAGACGCACACATTATCCGAGAGAGGCTCCACGTGACTCGTCCGGTGCAAACTCTCTTACGCAATCGCTTCGACGCGAACACTTTCTTTCGTACAATCGAGGCGAGAAAGAGAAAGGACACTTTATAGTCTTTGTTGTCGCGACAACACGTAACACTTATATCACAGATAATGGACGCCGCTACGCTTCGGCCGCGTTTGCGACGACGGAATCCTGATCAGGCTTGGTTGGCAGCGGCCTGTTGGCCATCTTGCTAGTGGACGCGGACGTCTGTTGGGGTTCCGGTAGTTCCGAGTACAGATGAGCGGTCGCGTCCGAGGGCTCGGCATATTCACATAACAGCGAATTCGGCCTTTTGTTGTTCATCTTGTTGGTCGTGCCCAGGATACTCTCGCCGAGCACCTTGAGGAAGCTCATCGGCCTGGCAGGTTGATCCCTGCGGGTAGAATCCAGTTCTAGATTCCGCGATGGTCCGCGATCATCAACACCGTAGCCTAGGTTCTTTGGTGGACCATCATTGCTGACGAGATGATCGTTAACCACGTCTGGTGGTAGCGGCTGTGGCCCTCGACCCATCAGGCTCTCTAGGATTGGTTGCGACAGTCGACTGGTGCTGGGAACCGTCTCGTCGCCCGGCAACTCGGCGTATAGATGATTCTGGTCGCTGGTCCGTTGATCGCGTGGTTGAGCGTATTCCGTAATGGGTGGTCTGACTTGTATCCCGCTTGGCAGTAACTTCTCCAAGGACGGCGCTTTGGTGCCGATGTTGACGGACGGTCTGGCTGCTCCGCGGGATCTCTTGACCCTTGGCCGGATCACATCGTAGGCGTTCTCCTCCCGATCGGCCGCCGGTTGCTGATCGTTATTGTTGTTGCAGCTCTCCTCGACCTTGATGAGGTCGTACAGGTGCTCGATCATGTCTCTCGCCTGGCTGTAATTGTCGGGGTCGCTCAGTCGATCTCGAAGATCTCTCAGGTATTCCTCCGTGAGTTCTTCCGGTAACGTCTGCGTGGCCTTGTTCTCCGTGTACGGATAAACGTCGCCGTTCTCATCATCGTCGTCCTCTTGAATACTCGCCTGAGGCTCCATTTGGAGGATCCTGGTTTCCGGCTGGAGACCGACGTATTCGTGCACGCTCAACCGCGAGATCGACCTGGCGGACGTCGCGGCGGTCATGCCGTTGCTGGACGAGAACCAGCTCGTTAGATTCGTCAGTGGGCTGGATGTCAGTTTGGGACAGACCCCGCGACGACGCACGTAGAGGATTCCCGAGGTCAGGATTGCCACGACAACGATGAAGACCGCCACGATACAGACGATGACGATAATCCTCTTCTCACGCTCGATCTGCTCTGTCTCGCTCATTTCCATGTCGAAGTATCCTTTCTGCCTTGGGTAAATATGCGGGCCTACGCTGGGTGGACTGATGCTCGGCTTCGGTTTCGGTGACGGTCTCTCGCAATTGATATGATGCCGCTTCGTGCAGATGAGCTGCGTAAAGTTGCGCATAGTCATGTAACCCTCGGACAAATTGAGGCATTTGTCCAGGAACTGATCGACTACGCAATAACTGGACTCCGTAATCATCATCATCAAAGCTAAGTTGTCGCGTCCCGTCAGTTCGCGCACCCACTCCTCGAGATTGCAGCTACACTTCTCCTTGAAGTAATTATTGCCGACGCGCGCCGCGTTCACGTTTTGCGAGATTGCCACGAATTTGAGCGCACCCGCCCGCGCCTTTTGTATGTGATTACCGGTGAAGGAGAATTCGAAATTGGGCCCGGAAGTGGCGCCTACCTCCGCTTTAATAGCCTCGCTCTCGAGATCGACGAAGAGATTGTTGTCGATCGCTATGTAGTTCCACTGGTGGAGCACAATCGCACCTGGCCGCAGATGTTGAAACTCGTTGTTGCTGAAGGTGACGGTCGCCGCTGACGTATTGATGGCACCAGTGTCCACCTCGGATAATCTAATAGAACAACGAAAATTAAGGCGTGCATTAAAATAAACTATTAAATAATTAAAGAATTCTATAATGAAAGACAAAAAAAAAATAAAGAAATATTAAGAAATTAATTAAAAATTGAAAGAAAATGAATATAATTGAATTTGCTCGCAGAAATAATGTAAAGAGAAGATATCGGCCGCGGTTTTTCATCTCGTGACCTAAATTTCTGCGGTAAATGTGATAAAGATCTTTATAAAGTGAATTTAATATCTCGAACCTTGAATATTGAATAGTCAGATTGTCGTGACCGGCTCTGAAGGCCGCCGTATTGATATTCTTAAGTTGCACATCGACGAACTCGAGGCTGTGGATGAGGGCTCTGTCGCTGAAGGCGCCGGATTGAATCTCGTGGATCGACGCGTTGCTGATGACGACGTTGAAGATGGTCATGGCACAGAAAGCGTCCTTGCGTATAATCTTCGTCCAGATGTCGTCCATTCGTATTTCCGCGACGGCCGAAGGAAATACTGCCTTGGGTAATTCCGCGATCCTCACTTTTTGGAACATTATCTATATTGCAAAGAGCAGCACAATCTCAAAATTGTAATTAAATTTCCATGATTTTATTACTCGACTTAAAGATTATCTACCGTATCTGACATTTAATATCGAATAATTCGTGCAAATAAGTAATTGCCCTCGTTTACTAATATTCGAAACGGAGAATGTTACGAATAATATTATCGAAAATATTCATATCGATGCGTTATTCGATATCAGAGATGAGTAATGATAATATAATTGGGATGCGAATATCATATGAATGTATTAAATTAATACATTATTACAGCGCGTAAATGTATCAAATTGATACATCAGAGAAACATTATCGAAAAATATTTACCATTTTTTTCTCTTCATGAATTTCTTTTTCTATAATCGTACTAATTTTTGTAAAATTACGATTTTATTATTAAATATACGATATTATTTATTTCTGTAAAATAAATTTCATTAATTCGATAATATAATATTGAATATTATTAATTAATTTATGAATAACATTCCTTTAATATGATTTCTTTTTGTTTGTATTAGCAGAGGAAAAATAAATATAGAAATTAAATACAGTTACACGCATCCAAAAGAAACTCAGTTATTGAAGATATTAAATTAATTTACACACCTAATCATATTAAAAATTATATTCATTTAAATTATAACAAATATACACGATCGATTTATGAGTTTAAATTTTCCATATAAAATACGATAGTTTCTCATTAAAGGATACGTTTGTTCTCAGAGTTGCATTTGGAATATTAAGTTTAAATTGCTCCAAAATTTCAGATGAAACAATGTTTTTATTCAGCTTATAAAGAAGCTTATAAAGAAATAGAAATAATGTCTATTATTTATCCTTATCGAAGCCAATTCCATTAATAGAGCGATAACCGTGACAAATAAAAGAGATAAATATCGATATCGGTGTTGTCATCCCGTTATCATTGATTAATAGCGAGTAACAATGCATTAAGATATCCGACCTTGGTCGCTGGTCCGTGTCGTCCGTGTTGAGGCGCTTCGAATTTAAAGGCATTGCTGGAGAGCTCCAAGGACGGCACTTCCTTCACGATGATCCACAGCAACCACGAGAAGGCGTTCGGCTTTATCTCCACGTGTTTGCACCGCGATATCGAGACGCTGAGCGTTCCGCGCGTGTTCCGGAACGCGTGACTCTCCAGGAACACGCTATTGCATTCGGACACCTCGAGATGCGTGTTGGGCGCGCTGATATTTTGAAAGGCCTGCCTCTTGGCGACCACGCTGTAGATCCCGGAAACGTGGACGCGTTTTAGAGGCGCGCCCCCGCCGAACGCGCCCGTCTGTATCCTCAGTTCCCGACAGTGCGAGACCTCGAGTTCCGTCGCCTCCGGTGGGATCGTTCCTTCCAGCAGCTCCACATTCTAGAAAAAAAAAAATCGGGACGAGAGATAAAACGTGATGCTATTGAGCGTTCCTGTCGTTTGTCTCGCGAATAGACGTTAGTAGATGTAATTAAAGAAGACGGTGACGCCGCGAGCGATCGACATCTCACATCGCCAAGGCCACGTGTGACTCGTCATTTACGTTTTTAAGATTTAAATCTTGCTTGCGTAATGAGCGGATATTATAACAACGCGACTGACTAAGGTCGTTTGAAATCATAATAAACGCATATTCTCGATTTGTAATAATTTACCACATTTTTTACGAGGACACGTCAAAAATAATATTTTTGGAATATTAATTCCTCTCTAACATATAGTTTTACAAATTGTTGAAAAGAAAGATTTTATTTTTATTCAAAGTTGTGTGCTAAATTTACAATTTAATTAAAAATTTATTTTATCGTAAATATAACGGTTACATATACAGATAATTAGACGAGATAAAAAAAAAATTGCAAAGTAGTAATTTACTCTCATTAAGTACAATAGAGTTTTCGAAGAGAATTTGAAATATTTCCACTGAACTATATATATATGTCGTCTTCCTGACAGTTATTTATAGGCTTATCTGAGCGCTAGTTCGTGCCGATATATTCCCTACGCTGACCCGATCATATGTGTCACTCGGACTTCTTTAACGGTTTCTTTCAGTTTTAATAGTTTTTTTTTTCACATTGCATTAGTAAAAAGACGGATGACCTACGATAAACTACTGCGAAAGAGATACCCTAATCTCTCAATACCTTTGATTGCGAAACGGCCTTGTTAAAAATCAATGAAAAATGTAAGGCAGAAAAATATTCAACAACCAATCTGTGCAAAAGATGATTCGAGATCCTTGGAATCATCATTATCGTTCCCAAAATCTGAGTTTGAAAAATTCAATTATTGTGGAAATATAAATTTTTAACGATTTACCAATAAATATCGGAGACTGATTAGAGTGAGGGAGCTAGCTTACCCCCTTCTGTGTCGCAGTTTATGGAAAATTATTTATTCCTTCCTATCTATTTTAAGACTACGCCTTTATTTTTCGTGGTATATGCGAACGCATCCGGTTCCTTGCCGCGGCACCTTTGACCCACCCGATGACTAAATCCGTTATCTACGAGATATTTTTTCGTCACCGAAATATTACAATACAGCTATTTATAGACGTGTGTTAGAAGTACCTCGAAGATATGATGTGTTGAGTGATCTTAACTGCGCGATAATTTGATACATTATAATGCATTTCGTGGCAAAAAGAGAAATACGATTATAAATTATTTTATATATGTTATTATTAATTCATTCTTAATATATTATTATTAATATATTGTTGTTATTAATTTATTTTTCTGCATTTCATCTGTGTTTGCCTATTTTAATATTCATAATTAAAAAACATACCATATTTTAGCAGTCATATTTCTTCAAAATATTTATCTTCTCTCTATCTCTCTCCCTCTCTCTGTCATTGTGAATATAATTGTAAAAGGTTGTGTATGCCACTCTCGTGAGAGAATAAACATATTTTATAAATAAATTTTATAAATCTATAATCATTTTAAATAATTTTTTTTATTTTTTCTCTAACTTTAATAACTCTTTATAAATTACCGAATTGAAATGGATAGAATTATTACTCTCTTCCCGTTTGGATTTCTTCCAAGTTCGGATGTTTACTTTTCGTGCGAAATTATTTTTCCGTGTATCCCGGTTTATTTCTACGTTCGACTTTTCGGTCTACACACGAAAAAGCTCAATAAACGTGGGCCGCATAATACGATATACGAGCCATGCCTGGTTCCTTCAAAGCACCGGAAAATCGTTTCAAGAGTTCATTAGAACTCCGATGAGTCACTGTTCGTCGCGACGACGAGTAATGCATACAACAGTTCGACTTTCGCATCCCGTCTCTTGGTTACACTACGGTAACGCGAGGCTCCGATTTTCTCTTACTTGTTTTATCGTCACCTCGCAATCGATCTGACATAAGTCGCGGTTTGATTTCAATGGGTAAGTTTACCCTTGCTCATCAGAAAAGGAAGAAAAAAAATGTTTCCCGTATCGATATCGTCGCGTATCCTAGGTTAATACAAATGTTGAGCTGAGAGCAAGAAACAGAGAGAGAGAGAGAGAGAGACACAGTCAGGTATCGATTAAGAGAGATATCGCAGTTACAAACGTATAGTAGTTATGTTAGATGATCTTGTTGGACTACGGTGATTGTAGTTTCAATACGACTCGAATCACCGGATAGTTAGAACCTTCGATACTATCGGGCTCAGTTTCATGACAGCATCCCGTAACACGTGCATCTAGATAAAACTCAGAAATTATTATATTACGCAAAATAGAAGTAAATTCGTAACAATAATGTAAATTATTCTTTATCGTCGTATATATTCAGATATTCTGTTGCGAAAAGATATAAGCCCGAAATATATTCAAAATCTAAATTTATTATAGGAGATTATTTATTTTTTTATTTCTAGTTTACTTGATTCTGTTAAATTTTTTATAGGATTTATTAATTTTATTTTAATATGGCTTATTTTTTACTTTAAGCTTTTATAATATGGTATTATTTTCTGATATCTATCCTTTGCTGTAACATAATGCGGATTTCCTGTGCGTTAACTCTATATGATGAGATATGCACTTCTCTAGTTGATAACGCCGGACAAAGTAAAACAGTATTAGCAGTGCGCAGCGAATGTAGTTCGCGTTTCATCCCTAATTAAAAATATGCGCGACTTCCTTGTAATTCAATGCGGAAAGTTTCGCGTGGAAAGAATTAATTAGTCAAATAGAGATAAATAGATAGAGAGAAAGAGAGACCGAGAGAAATAAAGGCAGTGGGAAAAACCGCGATATCACGCGAGTAAAATAAGCGTGTGTGTCAAAATGATACAACCCCTTTGTAGGGGCGCGCACTGTATCGGATCTGCTTTCATTATGTGGCACATCGATGACATCACTTCACGTGCATCGAAAGCCAGCTGTTATTGCCGTCGGTTCCTCGGGATAAAGAGAAACGCGGTCAGGGAAGAGTGCGAACGCAGTCGGAAAATGCGTCGCTCCTTTTTCTATGCTCCTCGATGAGTGACTAAGACTGGTCTTAAAAGTCGCACGGTGTGACTCAAGGGCTGGGATAACATCGGTTATTTCTGCGTCGCGGTCCTTGGGCACAAAGAACATATCTTCTCTTTCTCTGTCTCTCTTTCTCGAGATCTCTCACGTACAAACGACGTGAAACCGCTGGTGCGAATTAATTTCGCGCTACCGAGATCACGAGCTGGCCCGCAGCCATCGTAGAATTTTCTATGATGTATCCGTGATGTATTTCTGGAATCGATTTAATTCTATTTTTCCACTTGTTTCTTCCAAGGTATATTGGATGAGCTAACATAGTAGCCATTTAAATGCGAAGAGAATATTATATTAATTAATTAATTGACATGTTGAGATATTTTTTATCGAGTTTTAAATTTTATAATTGTCGAAGGCTCTGCACATTTTTTCCATTTTTCACTTTAACTGATTCTTAGAAAGCCCATTCTATTTTTGTTTCTTCCAGGGTATATTGGATGAGCTAACATAGTAGCCATTTAAATGCGAAGAGAATATTATATTAATTAATTAATTGACATGTTGAGATATTTTTTATCGAGTTTTAAATTTTATAATTGTCGAAGGCTCTGCACATTTTTTCCATTTTTCACTTTAACTGATTCTTAGAAAGACGTTTCTCACGATGGGAGGTTATTACAGATAAAGAAACCCATATGAAAACATTTAAACTTCCGAAATTTTCCGCCACAGCTGTAGTTATTCGAGAAAGGTTACATACCTACAATTTGTTCCGAACCGCCCTGAAACTTTAGACCGGATTTTTTTTTAAACATCGCTTCGCATCTCGTTTTGCTTCGTTCCGCAACGAAGCGTATCGAACCGTTTCCATTATCGTTTCCGTTTAGTTCGATTCCATATGTTTGGTTTAGTTTCGATTCTATATGAGAAAGATTTTTGTGAGAGAGGAAAACTTCGCGGAGACCTTTCAAGTTCCTCCGATACTTTCACAACACATTTAGCCAAGGATATTTTTAGTATATTATCCGTTTAAAGTACACGAGAATTATTTAATCACATTTATCGTCGAATATACAAGAAATTAAAAGTTTCGATTCTTAATTAATTCACATATGACAAGATTCTTTTTTTAATTTATATTTAGAAAATTATATATAGTACTATTTGTATTTGAAATAAAATAATAAATAATAAATAAATAAAATCGGTATATTTTACTTCTTTGCAATTCGATAAAGAATGCATATTAATTAACGCAATTTTCCGTTATCTGACCAGCCATTTAAACATATATGGCAACGGATGCGTAATATCGAAAGAGCGTTTCTGGCGAGAAGCCGCTGCAACGTCGATCGCAAGCGGCGGGAGGTTGCAGTACGTAGGTATACCGTTAGCGAAGGGAATCTTAAGAAAGCTGACTGTCCGGAATATCGATGAATCGCAAGGGTCACATCGCATCGTCGGCGAGGAAACATTATTTCAACTTATACAACGCAAGCGGTGGGTTTAGTCTTGCGATGCATCGAGCCGGAAATAAAGAGAACAGAGGCCACTTTAACCGGATTACGCCAACACCACTGGATACCGTGGATCGTAGTAACCGTGGAATTCGCGAATTCGCCATTGTGAGAATGAAACTGATAGTTTTGGCCTGGCGCCACGCTCACGACGGATGGAACGACCGAGTAGAAACCCTGTTTATTATAATGGGCTAATAGAACTCGTGAAGGTTTACGCTGACGTTGAAATATTTTCGTACACACGCGCTGGCCTTGCCAACGCGAACACGGGAAAGAACGATCTTGAGAGAAGAGGTGTTTCTGTAAAATATTTTGCGATACATAATTTAATTTAATAAATAAGCCAATATTTTATTCCCATTTTAACGTCATTAATGT